TGTCTATAGAATACTTCCATCAACCCAAAGATTCCTTTGTGACCATTCCATCCCCTCCTTGGTCCCAGGTAACCACTCCTCTGGTTTCTTTCAGTATCGTTAGATCTTTTTCCCCCTAGAGTTTCATACATATCATATAGTATTTACTCATTAGTGTTTGGCTTTCTTCACTCAGCATAGTATTCTTTAGGCTCATTCATGTTGTTGCATCTATCTTCAGTTTATTTGTGTAAATTTCAGAGTAGCATTCCACTGCATTGATATAACATAATTTGTTTATCCATTCACCTATTAATGGACATCTGGACTATTTCCAATGTTCAACTATTATGAATAAAGCTGCTGGGAAGATTTACATGTAAGTCTTTGTATGAGCATGTTTTCATTTTTCTTAGTAAACCTAGGGATGGAACTACATGATTATATTATAAGCATATGTTTAACTATAGGAGACTGCCAGTTTTCTATACCATTTAACATTCCCATTAGATGTATGAGTTTCAGTCAGCATGAACCTTTGACTTATGAAAATTAAATATTAATTGGTACCTTTACACATTTCCCTGACAATGAAAGTCCTTAGAACATTTTTTCTCCATCTCAACTTATATACACTACATTATGGTCTAGTCTTTTACTCTAAATATATTGTATGCCCAGTAAGCTGTTATTATTTTATACATCAATAGTCATTTAACATACCCCATATATTTATTATTTTCACTTTTAAAATGCATCTTAATCCTTCCTTCTGGGATAATTTTCCTTTTGCTTGAAGAACTCCCTTCAATGAGGGTTTGATGAAAATGAATTTTTAGTTTTATTTTTTTTGTCTGAAAGGGTCTTTATTGTTTCTGTTGAAGTCAGGGTAGTCTATTATTACTTTAAAGACAATGCACTTTTTTTCTAGGATAATTTAAAGATTTTTCTTTTTGTTTTTTATTTGTTTCCAAAAATTTCACTCTAATGTGTCTCTGTCTTGTCTTTTAATTTATCTGAATTGGGTTCATAGAGCTTTTTGTAATTGTGCCTTTTTGTCCTTTATCAGGCTTGGACAGGAATCAGCCACTGTTTCTTCAAAAATTGCTTCTATAGCATTCTCTCAGTTTTCTTCTAGGATTCCAATTACTTCTGTGTTAGACCTTTTCAATAAATCATATATAGTTTCTCTTCTGCATTTTACACATTTTTGTCTTTCTGGGCCTCATTCTAACTATTTTCTTTCAGTTCATGGGTTTTTCCTTCAATTGTATCTAAACCACTGAGTTTTTATCTATATATTCAAGTTTTAGGATTTCCAGTGTGCTTGCTCTCTCATGTGCTCTTTTTCTCTACATAAATACACTGTCTATATGAGAGAATTATCATGTTAGTTTCACCTACTTAAACATGTTCATCATAGCAATATCTGGAGTTTTAGTAGGTATTTTTTAATTGGGTTATAAATTATATACAATAAAAAATAGTTTGGTTGTACATTTGAAATTGCTTGGGCAAATGTACACAGTTGTATAACTACTACCCCAATGAAGATATAGAATATTCTACCAAACCAACAAATGCCCAAGTGCCCTTGTACCCATTTTCAGTCAATCCATCACCCCAGAGGAAAGCACTGCTTTGGTTTCTAACACTGTAGCTTCGTTTTGCCTGTCTTAGAATTTCCTATAAATGAAATCATATATTATGTACTATTTTGGGTCTGGCTTCTTAATTTGACATAATTTTTGAGATTCACTTATACTGTTATGTGACTCAATAGTTGTCAATGCACTGTATGAATATCTGATTGAACATGCCACAATATAAACACCCGTTCACTTGTTGATATACATCTGGATATTTTCCAGTTTGGGATTTTATGAATAAAGCTATTATGACCATTCTTGTATAAGTCTTTTATATATGTATAAGCCTTTTATATATATTTTCATTTCACTTGGGTATGAAGTGAAATACCTAGATTTTTGGATAAATGTATTAACTTTCTAAGAAATAGCCAAACTGTTTTTCCTAAGTGGTTGTACCATTTTAAATCCTCACCAGCAGTGTATGGGAATTCCAATTGCTCCTCAACCTCACAAATATTTGGAATTGTCAGTCTTTTTCATTTTAGCCATTCTAGTGTTTATAAAGTGATGTCTCCATGTAGTTTTAATTTGTACTTTCCTGATATAAAATGATGCTAAATATCTTTTCATGTTCTTATGGGGCATTTACATATATTCTCAGTAAATGTCTGTTCATGTATTTTTCCAATTTTTAAAATTAGATTCTTTGTATTTTCATCATTGAATTTAAGGATCTCTTTATATTTTTCAAACAAATGCCTTGTTGATCTGTATATATATAAAATATATTCTTCCAGTCTATGGCTTGCTTTTTAATTCTCTTAATGTTATTCTTTGGGGAGTGGTAATTTTTAATTTTGATTAAGTCAAATTTATTTTTTTATTCTTCACTTAATTTTTTGTATACTAAGAAATTTCCACCTTCCAAAGGTCACAAAGACATTGTCCTATATTTAGTTCTAAGAGCATGACATTTTTAGCTTCTATATTTAAGCCTATGATCAATCTCAAATTAATTCTCTGCAATGCCATTCTCTGTCATAAATCAAGTTGTCATATATGTGGGTCTACTTTTACTTTCTCTATAGTGTTTTTCTTTCCCTTATGCCTATAACACACTCTTAATTTCTATAGCTTTTTAATTATTTTTGACATCTTGTGGGGCAAGCCTCTTCACTTCGTTCTTTTTTAAAAAGATTTACTTATTTATTTTAGAGCAAGAGAGTGCATACAAGCGGGGGAGGAGGAGAGAATCTCCAGCAGACTCCCTGTTGAGTGTGGAGCCCAACACGGGGCTCGATCTCACGACCCTGAGCCAAAATCAAGAGTCAGACCCTTAACAGACTGAGCCACCCAGGCACCCCCCCACTTTGTTCTTATTTAGGAGGGTATTGGCTATTCTTGGCTCTTTGTTCTTTTATAAAAATTCTGCAATCACTTTTTAAATTAATGTTTTATGTTGGAGGTTCTTACATCAATGCAGTAAGTGTAACTATGAATTCTAAACTCATGTGAGGCCAAGTTTAAATTAAAAAATAAATTCTTAACGAATCCTATATTTTACACAGAGCCCAGGCCAAAACAGACATTATTCCTTATTGTCTCCCTGCACTGATTACTGTATTTTTTTAGTGCTCTTTCTAGGGCATAACCCTTCAATGGTATTGGATTTATGGGATGAATCCTTGTATTCATTTCCTATGGTTTATGTAAAAAATTACCACAAATTTAGTGACTTAAAACAACACAAATATTTTTTCTTACACTCTTGAAGGCCAGAAGTCTGGCAGTTTTATGGGCCCCTTCCTCCTCGTTCAAAGCCAACAGTATAGCATCTTCAAATCTCTCCAGCTTCCTTTATCACACTGCCTTTTGCTCTGTAGTCAAATATCTTTCTGCCTCCCTCTTATAAGGACACTTGTGATTATATTTAGGGCCCAACCAGATAATCCAGGATAATCTCTCCATCTCAAGATCCTTAATTTAGTGCACATCTGCAATGTCCCTTTTGCCATATAGGGTAACATTCACAGGTTCCAGAGATTAGGACATGGATATATTTGGGGGCCATTATTTAGTCTACCACAGCCCTAGTTCTTTCTAATCCTAAACTTCACTCAGGCTCAAAGCCTTTCTTATGTAACCTTAAAACTCAAAATCTTATTTATCAAAACTAGTAGTCCATTTTCCACCTATAACAGTATCAGTTCATGTGATTAACTCTAATTTTTAGTTCCCTCTTCCATTTGGGCCCCTGAGTATTTCCTTTAATTTATCAGCTCAGATATTTAAAAAGAATGTTTTCTATGTTTTATCTAGCTTTTCTAGGAGTTTGTAGAAGAGAGTATGTAGTTTGTTATATTTCTAAATATTGTTGACTCCTACATAGATTCTGTTCCCTCTACTTCACTAGAACTGTTCAAGATCACTAACAACCAAGCATATCACCATACTCAACAGTTTTTATCTGCATCTTACCTAAAAACACAGAATTTACACCAAAGAATTATTCCCTGCTTCTTGGAACACTCTCCTCTTGACTTCCATGATATCACACCCTTCTAGTTTTTTTTTTTTTTCTTTTTTCCCTCTTTACAGGTTACTCTTGTTCTCTATGCTGTGGTCTCTTCTACCTGACCTAAAATGCTGCTGCTTCTTAAAAAACACCATTTACTATTTAACTACACAGTATAGCTTCAGGATATTGGTAGGAAATATTGGCCTTCTGTGTGGGTACTCAGCATATCCATGTGTATGCCTCACAGACACCACTGCCATGGAGGCAGTTTAGTAGACTAAAAAGAGTATTTTTCTTCTAAAAATTTTTACAGTGGGGGAAACAGGCAGAAAATATTCTCTATGTTTTAAGTCTCCCAGGAAGAAATGCTAATGATGTACAAATCTCTTTTTAGACACCAGTAACTTTCTATTAAAGAAAATTTCCCTGATTGTAGGTACTATTGAAAAATCCTTCAAACTTTGTGTAGCCTTTACTGATAATTTGTACTTTCAAAAAAGCTAGAGGAGAAATAGCAATGTCAGATGCTTATACAAAAAAAAAAAAAAGGATCATAAAAAGCCCCCAATCCACTTCTCTGTTGTCAACTTAGTTTCCCACTTGTCACCTTCTCCAGCTCTGCCCACTAATTTCCTCTTTTTCACTGAAGGCTCAGTCCCTCCCCAGTTCCTGAAGCAAACCTGACTGAGAGAGGAAGCATTTTAGTAACCTTACTACTCCAACACTCTTCTATTCCCACTTTTTTTTTTTTAAAGAATTCAGTTGCTTGAAACACCAGGATCTGATGACTCAATTACTAATGCTGGGCCCAGGCATTGCTCCCATCCACTTTCCTTATCCCTACTCTGACAGTCAATCATAAAACTTTGCCAATGCCTTCATCTGCTCATTCTCCATAAAACAACACTCACCAAAGACCGTACGGGCAGGGACAGACTCTCTGTTGAGCCAGAAAGACACTTGTGACAGAATGACAGTCATGATACATGGCAAGTAGGTCTGGATCACAAAATAGCCAATTTTTCGCTTGAGATGGAAGTGGGTTGTCATGACGACATATTCTCCTGGAAAGAGAGTAAAATTAGGCAATATATAGCTGAGTAAACATTGTTAAATCAAGGTGGGCCCCAATTCAGTTCACCAAGTTCTTTAACCTTATACTCAAAACAAGACATTCCAGCACCTCCCAAGTTCACATAACCAGATCTCCTTAATAATCATGAAGTAGTGCATTTTTATGCAAAAATATATGCCAACACTGTACCAACACAGCTTGCTCAGAGCAATTCTGACACAGATTCATTCAAATAAATCAGTGTCTTAAATAAAAATAAATAACAGTCTCTTCTACAGCATTTGCTATGTGACTGGCACTCTTGTAGCACTTTAACATTTAACATCTTAAAATACTTAATGTTTATAACAATGTTATAAAGTAGATACTATTGTTATCCTCATTTTATGGTCCAGTAAACTGAGGCAAAGAGAAATTGAGCAATTATATAAGGCTATCCAGCTACTAAGCAGTGGAGCCTGAATTCAAGACCATATGGGTCAGTTCCACAGTTTATGCTTTTTAACCACAATGCTCTGCTGTTTGAATGGACTTAGAGTTAGAACCAAAAGTTCATATAGCAGAATGTGGGCTGGCCTATAACACCCCACTCCAAAACAAGAGTGAACACTTATTGAGCTCTTACTATATGCCAAACAACTTTGAGTGTTTTGTCTCTGCCCTTCCTCTCTCTCTCTCAAATAAATAAAAAAATTAAAAAAAATATCTTCTGCCTAGGCTTCCTACTTATTATAGGTTGAATTGTGTCTCCCAGAAAGATATGGTGAAGTCCTAACCCTGAGTACTTCAGAATGTAATCTTCTTTAGAAAAAAGGTTGTTGCAAGTATAATTAGTTAAGATGAGGTCATACTGGAGTAGGATGGTCCTTAATCCCCTATGACTGATGTTTGTATAAAAAGAAGACAGATACACACAGGGAGATATATGATCATGTGGAATATTTAATATATAAAATATATGATAAATATTCATAAATTAGTTATATTTTGTAGATCTGAAAGACAATGCAAGTGGACTTTTCAAAAACTTATCAAATCAAGCATTCGTTTTAAATAACTGAATATATTTTTTTCCATCTTCTTTTCTAGCCTTCTCTCTTTCAATTTCTTTCTTCCTATCCCATTTCCAAAGAAGCAAAGAGCATGCCTAAGATGAGCAGATGGTGAAATAGGACATCCCTGGCTCCAGTATCCCATCACAAATATATGGATTAGCAACTATTTACAGACAATAATACTTTTGTGAAAATCCCAGAACCAGGGATTAAAACTAAAACACCTTCTTTGAGCACAAAATCCAAGAGAAGCCACATTAGAAAGGTCAGAGAAGTGGCTTCACTGCACCACCTACTTCCCTCCCCCAGGCCAGCCCAATGTAGCACCTAGAGGGTTCCTCTGGGTCTATGGTTTCTCTAGTGGGAAAAGGAGAGCCTAAGGCAGATACACAGTTTCCCCCAGCATTCCAGAGCATTCCTCCAGAGGCCTACTTCTGCCTTGCCTCACGGGGAATACTGGGAGAATCAACAGGGCTAGACCATTTGGGGTCAACTAGGAACAAAGAAGGGGGAGTGGTGAAACTTCCAGCCACCTGTGCTTGGATCTTGGCAGTGATACCAGGTCCCTGCTAGCAAACTCGCCTGATCAGAGTTTAGCCAGCAGCCTGTCCCCACCTGTACAGGAAACCCAACCTCTCAAAGCAGCCTGTAGCTCTGGCTAACAGATAAGTACAGGCAGAGGTACTGCCCAACAGCAGAGTTTGGACCAACAGCACAACTCCAGCAGAGGCCTTACCCAATGGTTGTAGTCTAGACAAAAGGATCATACCCCTTGGTGTCCTGGTGCCCTCACCCACCAAAATGGTGACCTCCCCAGATCTAAAGCACCCTGGCTGTCTTGCCTGGGGGTCATGGTGACCCCCAACTACCAAAATGGAGACCTCCATGGGTCAAAACCTCTGGCTGCACGGCTGAGAGGGAGATGGGAGGTCGTGGCACTCCAACCACCAAAATGGTGACTTCCAGGAGTTGAAACAGGCCCATTGTAATACCTGAGGATCCCTGCCCCCAAGCTGTAGAGCATGCTAGGGTTAACCTGTGTTTCAAAACAGTGTGGCACCCAACTGCTGCAAGTAGCTCGTCCCCCATACAACAGAGGCCCCCTGTGGCCCTGCTGAACAGTGGAGCATAGACCACTGAATCATGAATAGAAAATCTAAATGGATCAATATAGTGCAAGGAGATATAATCAGTAATTAGCACCTCCCAACAAAGAAAATCCCAGGACAAAATGGCTTCATGGGTAACCAAACATTTAAAGAAGAATAAATGCCAGTCCTCCTTTAAACTCTTCCAAAAAACTGAAAAGGAGAAAATGCTTCCAAACTCATTTTAGAAGGCTAGCATTGCCCTGACACCAAAATCAAATAAAGACTTAGAATTAAAGAAAATTACAATCGACTCTTAAATAATGCTGGGGTTAGTGGCACCAAAGCCCCACATAATGGAAAATCTGCCTATAACTTCTGACTCCCCCAAAACTTAACTACTAATAACCTACTGTTGACCAGAAGCCTTACCAATAACAGTGGATTAACACATATTTTGTACGTTATAAGTATCATATACTGTATTCTTACAATAAAGTTAGGAAAATAAAATGTTGTTAAGAAAATCATAAGGAAGAGAAAATACATTTATAGTACTGTATTTATTGATAGTGTAAGTTTACCTCATCTATTTATAAGACAAACCATATGTTAGAGCCTACATCAATATTGTCTTACATGATACAAAATACTATAAATGCTATACATGCTACTGACACTACACATCAAAAATGAAAATATGTGAAAAAGGAATATTTATTTACAAGTATAACAATTCATACATTGATATCAAAGAAGCAGCAATATGATTGCTTTATGGTAGCCTAGTATAATCAATATAATTGCTTCATGGTGGCTTAGCCCATATACTCATGAATGAATTGTCATAAAATTTTTATGGCATACAGTATTACAGTCATATTCATAATATGGTATTGGAAACATTGTTACTTAAAAAAAAACACTTGCCTGTGATGATAGGCTAATATGCATTGTCTCCAATTAGAAGAGAGAATTACTGTATGGTAATGTAATTCTTTGAAAGCAAAGTTATAAAACAGAAAACGCAACTTTTACATCAACATGGATGGGACTAGAGGAGATTATGCTAAGTGAAATAAGTCAAGCAGAGAAAGTCAATTATCATATGGTTTCACTTATTTGTGGAACATAAGGAATAGCATGGAGGACATTAGGAGAAGGAAGGGAAAAATGAAGGGGGGGAAATTGGAGGGAGAGATGAACCATGAGAGACTATGGACTCTGAGAAACAAACAGGGTTTTAGAGGGGAGGGGGGGAGGGGGATTGGTTAGCCCGGTGATGGGTATTAAGGAGGGCACGTACTGCATGGAGCACTGGGTGTTATACGAAAACAATGGATCAAGGATCACCACATCAAAAACTAATGATGTATTGTATGGTGACTAACATAACATAATAAAAAAAAAAAAGAAAAAAAAGAAAGTATATATAGGCAATGGAAGAAAACCAGAAAACTAACACATTATTAATTTTATATTAAATACCACTCACTTTATGCCTATGTAAGGATCAGCTATCCACTTCCATACAAGTCTTACACATGATGTTCTTCATAATGAATATTTATGTGATGATGATGACACAAAAATGTCTCATACAATTCCTGCTGTACAGTTATTAGAAAAAAAAACAAAAGATATTCACATGAGGACAAAAACACACAACAGATAATAAGTTTATTAACTGTATGCCATGATGATTATTTACTATTCATTAAGTGGAACTGAATCATTGTAAAGGTCTTCATCCTCCTTGTCTTCTGGTTTAGTAGGCGGAGGAGGAGAAGGAGGAATTGGTCTTGCTGTCTCAGGGGTGGCAGAGATAGAAGTAGTGGAGGAGATGGAAGGGGAGGTAGGAGAGGCAGGCACACTCAGGGTAACTTTACAGAAATACATTGTAATGTCTGTCTGATTTGTTTTTCTCATTTCTCCAAAAATGTTCCTATATGGTACCAATCCTTCTTCCACCATTTGCTTTAATTTCAATGCCCATATCATAGAAGGGTCCATGTCATAAAAAATGTCAAAAGCAGTCTTAAATAATTGGAATCCTTACATGTTGTCTAATGTCAATTTGTTTTCTGGCACTACTTCTAAATCTTCTTCCTCATTGGCACTGCTTCAGAAGCATTCATCTCCATCAAGTTGTCTTCTGTTAATTCCTCAGATGTGGTGTCTATTAGCTCTTGAATTTCTCCAAGATTGATATCTTGAAATCTTTCAATCCCCACTTTTTTTTGCCATATCACAATCTCTTTCATTATTTCTTTAGTTCTGTCATAAATCATGTGAAGTCAGGCACAACATCTGGACACAGTTTTCTCCAGCAGGAATTCATTGTTTCAGACTTGATGGCTTTCATGGCTTGTTCTGTAACAACGATGGCATCTTCAGTGTTATAATCCTTCCAGATTTTCATGTTGTTCTCTATATTGGGGTTCTCCTGCATAGAGTTGATGATCTTTTACATAGAGTGCCATGTACAATGAGACTTAAAGGTCCTTGTGATCTCCTGATGCAGAGGCTGAATTAGAGGTGTTGTGTTTGGGGACAAGTAGACCACTTCAATATTTTTGGTGTTGAACTTATGGGTTTCTGGGTGGCCAGGTGCATTGCCCAATATCAAAAGAACTTTAAAAGGCAGTCCCTTGCTAACAAGGTACTTCCTGACCTCAGGGACAAAGCACTGATGGAACCAATCCAGAAAAAGTGTTTCCATTGTCCAGGCCTTCTTGTTGTACAACAAAAATATTGGCAACTGGTGTTTATCTTTTCCCTTCAAGGTTGGAGGGTTAGTAGCTTTATAGATAAGAGCAGTCCTGATCATTAACCTGACTATATTT